ATCGAAATGATGTACAATACATGGCATTTCAAAAATTGACTTTTTCCCTGATGGTACCATCTGGGAAATTGGGTCAAAAATCGATCTTTGAGATTGCCATATGGTATACATCATTTTGATAGAGAATTTAACTGCAAGTTTAACGGCGCAAACCGTTTTGACGCTTGTCGCATAGTTTGTCTCCAAATTGCGTTTTTCGAACAGTTCCCCCCCTGTTTTTTTAGCAGTTTTTACCCGTTTAGAGACAAGGTATACGGCAGCCGTTGAATGTGATACCATCGTTAGACTCTCCGTTCGATTCTCTATCGAACTGACGTATGATATATGACGGCTGACGTGTAGTTTGTCTCTAAACAACGTTTTTCGGTCATTATTAATCGTTTTTTGACGTAGTTTTTTGCAGTTTACCGACGAACAACACGGCAGCCGTCAAATCTGATTGCAATTATATACTCACCGTTTGATTCTCTATCGAATGGATGTATCACATGTGACGGCTGCTGTATGGTTTGTCTCTAATTGACGTTTTTCTGTTGCCGCCCCTCAAGTTTTTGCGTCAGTTTTTTGCAGATTAGAGACAAACTATATAGTTTTATCAAATTCTGTTTGCGGCATTGATCTCAGCATTGAATTATCTATCGAAATGATGTACAATACATGGCATTTCAAAAATTGACTTTTTCCCTGATGGTACCATCAGGGAAATTGGGTCAAAAATCGATTTTTGAGATTGCTATATGGTATACATTATTTTGATAGAGAATTTAACTGCAAGTTTAACGGCGCAAACCGTTTTGACGCTTGTCGCATAGTTTGTCTCTAAATTGCGTTTTTCGAACAGTTCCCCCCCTGTTTTTTTAGCAGTTTTTACCCGTTTAGAGACAAGGTATACGGCAGCCGTTAAATGTGATACCATCGTTAGACTCTCCGTTCGATTCTCTATCGAACTGACGTATGATATATGACGGCTGACGTGTAGTTTGTCTCTAAACAACGTTTTTCGGTCATTGGGAATCGTTTTTTGACGTAGTTTTTTGCAGTTTACCGACGAACAACACGGCAGCTGTCAAATCTGATTGCAATTAGATACTCACCGTTTGATTCTCTATCGAATGGATGTATCACATGTGACGGCTGCTGTATGGTTTGTCTCTAATTGACGTTTTTCTGTTGCCGCCCCTCAAGTTTTTGCGTCAGTTTTTTGCAGATTAGAGACAAACTATATAGTTTTATCAAATTCTGTTTGCGGCATTGATCTCAGCATTGAATTATCTATCGAAATGATGTATAATACATGGCATTTCAAAAATTGACTTTTTCCCTGATGGTACCATCAGGGAAATTGGGTCAAAAATCGATTTTTGAGATTGCTATATGGTATACATTATTTTGATAGAGAATTTAACTGCGAGTTTAACGGCGCAAACCGTTTTGACGCTTGTCGCATAGTTTGTCTCTAAATTGCGTTTTTCGAACAGTTCCCCCCCTGTTTTTTTAGCAGTTTTTACCCGTTTAGAGACAAGGTATACGGCAGCCGTTGAATGTGATACCATCGTTAGACTCTCCGTTCGATTCTCTATCGAACTGACGTATGATATATGACGGCTGACGTGTAGTTTGTCTCTAAACAACGTTTTTCGGTCATTATGAAACGTTTTTTGACGTAGTTTTTTGCAGTTTACCGACGAACAACACGGCAGCCGTCAAATCTGATTGCAATTAGATACTCACCGTTTGATTCTCTATCGAATGGATGTATCACATGTGACGGCTGCTGTATGGTTTGTCTCTAATTGACGTTTTTCTGTTGCCGCCCCTCAAGTTTTTGCGTCAGTTTTTTGCAGATTAGAGACAAACTATATAGTTATATCAAATTCTGTTTGCGGCATTGATCTCAGCATTGAATTATCTATCGAAATGATGTATAATACATGGCATTTCAAAAATTGACTTTTTCCCTGATGGTACCATCAGGGAAATTGGGTCAAAAATCGATCTTTGAGATTGCCATATGGTATACATCATTTTGATAGAGAATTTAACTGCAAGTTTAACGGCGCAAACCGTTTTGACGCTTGTCGCATAGTTTGTCTCTAAATTGCGTTTTTCGAACAGTTCCCCCCCTGTTTTTTTAGCAGTTTTTACCCGTTTAGAGACAAGGTATACGGCAGCCGTTGAATGTGATACCATCGTTAGACTCTCCGTTTGATTCTCTATCGAACTGACGTATGATATATGACGGCTGACGTGTAGTTTGTCTCTAAACAACGTTTTTCGGTCATAAGAAATCGTTTTTTGACGTAGTTTTTTGCAGTTTACCGACGAACAACACGGCAGCCGTCAAATCTGATTGCAATTATATACTCACCGTTTGATTCTCTATCGAATGGATGTATCACATGTGACGGCTGCTGTATGGTTTGTCTCTAATTGACGTTTTTCTGTTGCCGCCCCTCAAGTTTTTGCGTCAGTTTTTTGCAGATTAGAGACAAACTATATAGTTTTATCAAATTCTGTTTGCGGCATTGATCTCAGCATTGAATTATCTATCGAAATGATGTACAATACATGGCATTTCAAAAATTGACTTTTTCCCTGATGGTACCATCTGGGAAATTGGGTCAAAAATCGATCTTTGAGATTGCCATATGGTATACATCATTTTGATAGAGAATTTAACTGCAAGTTTAACGGCGCAAACCGTTTTGACGCTTGTCGCATAGTTTGTCTCCAAATTGCGTTTTTCGAACAGTTCCCCCCCTGTTTTTTTAGCAGTTTTTACCCGTTTAGAGACAAGGTATACGGCAGCCGTTGAATGTGATACCATCGTTAGACTCTCCGTTCGATTCTCTATCGAACTGACGTATGATATATGACGGCTGACGTGTAGTTTGTCTCTAAACAACGTTTTTCGGTCATTATTAATCGTTTTTTGACGTAGTTTTTTGCAGTTTACCGACGAACAACACGGCAGCCGTCAAATCTGATTGCAATTATATACTCACCGTTTGATTCTCTATCGAATGGATGTATCACATGTGACGGCTGCTGTATGGTTTGTCTCTAATTGACGTTTTTCTGTTGCCGCCCCTCAAGTTTTTGCGTCAGTTTTTTGCAGATTAGAGACAAACTATATAGTTTTATCAAATTCTGTTTGCGGCATTGATCTCAGCATTGAATTATCTATCGAAATGATGTACAATACATGGCATTTCAAAAATTGACTTTTTCCCTGATGGTACCATCAGGGAAATTGGGTCAAAAATCGATTTTTGAGATTGCTATATGGTATACATTATTTTGATAGAGAATTTAACTGCAAGTTTAACGGCGCAAACCGTTTTGACGCTTGTCGCATAGTTTGTCTCTAAATTGCGTTTTTCGAACAGTTCCCCCCCTGTTTTTTTAGCAGTTTTTACCCGTTTAGAGACAAGGTATACGGCAGCCGTTAAATGTGATACCATCGTTAGACTCTCCGTTCGATTCTCTATCGAACTGACGTATGATATATGACGGCTGACGTGTAGTTTGTCTCTAAACAACGTTTTTCGGTCATTGGGAATCGTTTTTTGACGTAGTTTTTTGCAGTTTACCGACGAACAACACGGCAGCTGTCAAATCTGATTGCAATTAGATACTCACCGTTTGATTCTCTATCGAATGGATGTATCACATGTGACGGCTGCTGTATGGTTTGTCTCTAATTGACGTTTTTCTGTTGCCGCCCCTCAAGTTTTTGCGTCAGTTTTTTGCAGATTAGAGACAAACTATATAGTTTTATCAAATTCTGTTTGCGGCATTGATCTCAGCATTGAATTATCTATCGAAATGATGTATAATACATGGCATTTCAAAAATTGACTTTTTCCCTGATGGTACCATCAGGGAAATTGGGTCAAAAATCGATTTTTGAGATTGCTATATGGTATACATTATTTTGATAGAGAATTTAACTGCGAGTTTAACGGCGCAAACCGTTTTGACGCTTGTCGCATAGTTTGTCTCTAAATTGCGTTTTTCGAACAAATCCCCCCCTGTTTTTTTAGCAGTTTTTACCCGTTTAGAGACAAGGTATACGGCAGCCGTTGAATGTGATACCATCGTTAGACTCTCCGTTCGATTCTCTATCGAAATGATGTATGATATGTGACGGCTGCTGTATGGTTTGTCTCTAATCGACAAAAAAACTTTTTTGTGACGTAGTTTTTTGCAATTTACCGACAAACGACACGGCAGCCGTCAAAACAGTTTGCGTTTTTATACTTACCTATTCATCTTCTATCGAATAGAGGTATCATATGTGACGGCTACCGTTTGGTTTGTCTTTATTTGACGGTTTTCTGATATAGCGTTTTGTTTCTACGGGTTCGTACAGCTAGTCTTCAACCCAATAGAGCTTTTTGCATATTACCAACAAACGACACGGCAGCCGTTAAAACGGTTTGCGTTTTTATTCTCACAGTTTTATTCTTTATCGAATAGAGGTAACATAGAATTGTGTGGTTTTCATATTTTATATAAAACAACAAAATATATTTTTTATTAAACAACAAAGTGAGGGGCGGCTAAAGAAAAACGTCAATACGAGAGAAAATAATAGTATTTAACCAATAAGATAATTTTTTAAAACAATGTCAAGATGCGATTTCATTTATTTGTTCAGAATATATTAAGATATCAAACACAACTTTTGCAAAATGTGAATTAAACTTCGAAACAAATTCCAAAAATAAACCTTTATTAAAAAAAGTCACAAAAAGAAACTTTAACAAATATATTTACAAAAACTAAACAATGTAAAATAAACCTAAAACGATTGTTTATTTAATAAATTGCACAAAACCCCAGCATCAGTAATGTATTTGGTAAAGTTGATATGGCAAGTTTCTTTTTTATATTTAGCTTGCATGTTTTTCAAGACGGTCCTTTTTTCATCCCAAGTCATCTTTTCACAGATTTTACTTAATCTGGACTTGTCGCTTTGATCCAGTAAACATAACTGCCATTCTTTGGAAGTAATCGGACCTTTTGCAATAATACATCTTTTAGCTATAAAAGCAATTGCCAAGAAAACTGATCGGTCAAACTTGTTCGACCGAGGAACATACCAGTCCCCTTTTTTAACTTCTTTATAATCTGAAAAATAACAAATGATATTTTATTTCAAATGAAAAAAAAACAAATATTTTTATTTTTATTTGTTCAATTTAGTCTATTATTTAACAACACTGATCAAAGATTACCAAGCAAAATTTCTTCTTTTTCTTCATTATTCAAATCTTCATATGATGACACTTCACTTCTTTCACTTTCACTCTCTGAACTGCTATCTACTAAAAATTAAAAAAAAAAATAGTATATTGCATTTAAGACTATAAACTTCTTTTATATAAGACATAAAATCATTTCTATAAAGAAGTCTTATATATCTTAACTAGAGCTTTATAAACTCTTAACTAGAGCCTTATAACTTCAAACCTTTAAGCTTTCTTTTTAAATTTTTCTTTTTTTCTTCTTTGTTACACGTTTTTAAATGGAGCATCTCTAGTAAATTGAAAATTTATACAGATTGATCATTTATCTGTAAATAATTATATACATAGTTCTGCATATGTTTAAAAGTTAGATGCATATATAAATATAGATATTAATTGTGCATTTTATACCGTCAACTGTTTGATATTTGGATTTCTTCAAAATATCTATCATAACTTCCGTTTGACTTGTCACACTCAAGTTGTCAAGCGGTGTTCTAGCTGAAAAGTTTGTATTATCTATTTAGAACACACTGTATGATAAGAAATTTTTTGTTTGTAAAGCAAGTTTTTTAAATTATATTTAAATGTTACCTGCAATAATTTTCTGAATTAATGGCGGATAACTGGGATTGATGTATTTGTAATTGCAATGTACATTCCCGTCTCGTTTCCCAGAAACCACGTTCTCCACAGACACACGATCTTCAAATTTAATTAATGAAATCAATTTTTATACTTTTTAGAGACTTTTAATTAAAATAAAGTACTTTTTAACAACTTATAACAAAAGTTAATGTGTTAAGGTAATTAGCAGTAGTTTATTAGTTTAATTACAATAAATATGTACCAACCTTTTCTACAAATAACCGAATCTATGAGGCTCGACAAAATAGACTCAACTATAATAGTTGATTCACTAAAATCATCTAATAAAAAAAAATTAATATGAATTTGTTAGGCATAACTTGTTGCAGCATCGAAAAGTGTATGTATTTAATTTACTAAAAAAAATTAAATTATTAATTAACTAAACATTAGTACTATGGACAGGCTTACCTGTACAAACTTCATTTTTAGATGAAGTTTCACTCGGATGAATAACTGTAGGTGGAACTAAGTTTCAAGAAATAAAAATATTATAAACATTTGTAACAACTACCATTGAAATGTCATTACCACTAGCAAATTTCTTTAATACATTTACCAAAAAAGTTTTATTTAGCAGTTCTAACTGAAACATTATTTTATAACTATAATAAACTTACTCTTTTTATCAGGTTCAGCCACCTGTCTTGAAAAATCAATGTCATCATTATCTTCTAAAAGAACAATTAGAGGTATAAAACTAAGGCAAAAAATTTATAAATGTTTTTTTAAAAATGTTTTCACAATAAAAAAACACTTACCCTCAAAGTTATCCTTAAAAGCAATGCGTTTTTTACTTTCAGGCTGATCTGAAAACATAGAAAAAATTTTAAATAAAATGATGTTATTAGCAAAACTTATACATTTACAAAATTTTAATCACCGATGTCTGAAGACTCATATCCTTTGTCTTTAGTATGTTTACTTAGATACTGATTTATTTCAGTATCAACATACTCCTCTCCAGAAATGCTTTTTATTTGTTCAGCAGTTTTTGCTAACCATTTCTTTAGCTTTTTCGAAGACATTTCATTTACCTGAAATTTCTTTGC